TGTTGGGATCAGGAACTGGTAGATTCTGGTTGGCCGGGCTTGGGACACATGATACTCCCTATCACAAAGACTAGGGGCGGGAGAAAGGTGACCCTCCAAGGGAAATCAGGGGCTATTACCAAAAGGAGAGAGGAGGTACCAGATAAGGAGGAATACCGGATACCTGCCATGAGGGAAAAGCGAACTGCACAGCTCATGTGTGCCGGGCATTGGCAAAGCCCTATATGTACCTTAGTTATTGCAGTGAGTCCTCCGGGGAGATTGCTGTCCTCATTTTAGAGAGAAGGACACTGTGGCCAGAGAGATTGGTACCTTGTGAGTTTCACCAAACAGCAGGGCTGGCATTAGAACCCAGTGCATGGGCTCTTTCACCAGCCCCCAGACCGTGGGCAAGGCCAAAGCCCTACATTGGGACAATTCTCATCAAAAAGTTAGATCTGTGCCTAAAAATGCAGACATTGTGCTCAGAGGTTGATTCCAATAAACCAGTTAGATCTGCTACAGAGTTCTTGTACCACAGGGACAGACTTTAAAAATTGTAAACAGGGCTTCCCTGGTGGCGCAGTGGTTGAGAGTCCGCCTGCCGATGCAGGGGACGCGGGTTCGTGCCCCGGTCTGGGAAGATCCCACATGCCGTGGAGCGGCTGGGCCCGTGAGCCGTGGCCGCTGAGCCTGTGTGTCCGGAGCCTGTGCTCCGCAACGGGAGAGGCCACAACAGTAAGAGGCCCGCGTACCGCAAAAAAAACAATTGTAAACAAGGGCTTCCTTGGTGGCACAGTGGTTAAGAATCCGCCTGCCAATGCAGGGGACATGGGGTCGAGCCCTGGTCCAGGAAGATCCCACATGCCACAGAGCAACTAAGCCCATGCACCACAACTACTGAGCCTGTGCTCTAGAGCCTGCGAGCCACAGCTACTGAGCACGTGTGCCACAACTACTGAAGCACGCCTAGAGCCCGTGCTCCACAGCAAGAGAAGCCACTGCAACAAGAAGCCCACACACCGCAACAAAGAGTAACCCCCGCTTGCTGCAACTAGAGAAAGCCCACGTACAGCAACAAAGACCCAACTCAGCCAAAAATAAATAAATAAATATTGGGAGATTGGGATTGACATGTATATACTAATATGTATAAAATGGATAACTAATAAGAACCTGCTGTATAAAAAAATAAATAAAATTCTAAAATGCTGGATAAATAAAATTTTATAAAAATTAAAAGAAAACTAGAAAATATTACTGACAGAAATGAAAAAACACCTAAATAGAGTGACACACCTAAAAAAAAATAAATATAACTAAATAAATAAATTTTTAAAAAATTTTAAACAAGAGATCAAGAATGAATTATGTAAGCAGAATTTGTTTTTTCTGTTTATGGGTGTATGTTTTGGGTTGGTTTTAAAATCTTTGATGATATTTTATTTTATTTTTTTCTTGTTTTTAATCCACATTGGCATTGTCCTTCACAGATAGTCATACAGACTTTGTTTATACATCCCCCAGGATGGGGACCTTTGGTAGGGTATTTTCTGGGACTCCATTTACCCATCTGGAAGGTGGGGCCATTGGGTTGGCTGAGTTCCATGGTCCCTTTCAGATATGGAAAAGCCCCCTTGCTAGTTTCCCTGCCCTTTTTCAAAACCATTTTCTGCACAGCGGCCAGAGGCATATAGATGGATATTTTTTTAAAACATACATTAAATTATGTCAAACGCCTCCTCCCCAGCCCCCTGCACCCCTCAGAACTTCAATAGAATAAAAATCCCTCACCGTGGCCTATAAGCCCTATAAGACCCTTGTGATACAGCTGCTGCCCCTCCTGGCCACATCCCCTTCCCTGACAGCTCTGTCCTGCCATAATGGTCTTCTGGTTCCTCAAACATTCCAAGCATTTTCCAGCCTGCGTGTCTTCATTTGTACTTTGCATTCTGTCTGGAATACACTTTCCTCAGCTCTTCCCCAAGCCAGTTCCTCAGCCTTCAGGTCTCAGTTCAAAGGCTGCTCCCTCAGAGCAGTTCCCTTCCAAGAACACCCTCCACCACCATCCCCATCCTGCGCTACCACAGCAGGCTTTGGGGTCCTTCCTAGCACTTACTGTAACTTAAATTATATACATATTTCCTCATCTGATGGTTTATTGCCCATCTTCCCACTGTCCAAGGGCAGGGTCCGAGGCTGTCCTGCTGCTCATTGTAACCCAGCACCTGGCAGAGGGCCTGGTACACAAGAGGTGTTTAATAAATGTTGTAGAGTGAATGAATGAATGGGAGCCACTCTAAATCGACACGCTGGAGGCTTGCTTAAGCAGCATTGATGTTTTCTTTCTTTTTCTCTCTCTCTCTTTCTTTCTCTTCGTTGCTGCGCATGGGCTTTTCTCTAGTTGCGGCTAGTGGAGGCTGCTCTTCGTTGCGGTGCGCGGGCTTCTCATTGCGGTGGCTTCTCTTGTTGCGGAGCACGGGCTCTAGGCGCGTGGGCTTCAGTAGTTGTCGCACGCGGGCTCAGTAGTTGTGGTGCACGGGCTTAGTTGCTCCACGGCATGTGGGATCTTCTTGGACGAGGGCTCAAACTCATGTCCCCTGCATTGGCAGGCGGATTTTTAACCACTGCACCACCAGGGATTCCCCTGTTTTCTTTTTAATAAGACTAATGACTATTCAGGTGGCTTTGGAGACAGCTCTTTTTGTCGTAAAATCACTTTTCCAGGGTGACTCTGCCTCCCAAAGGATGCCCTGCCCTGTCTTTTGGCTCTATGAGGTACCCAGGACTAGTGGACACAAACAAGGCCGGGGGAGGTGGGATACCTGAATCCCTGGTGTTGAAATAGTCTGTCTTTCTGAACTGGGGCCGGGTAGACACTGGGGACTCAGAGTGAAGGGTACTAAGATTTCTTGAACTTTTCCTCTCTGCAAGGAGCTCAGAGCTTTACCTCTGATAATCATCACAATTCTATGTAAGATGGGCTCGATGACCCCATTTTACAGATGGAAACTGAGGCCCTGGGGGTTAGGAAATTGCGTGAGTCTAGAGTCCAAATGCCTTCCTTCCTGCCTTGCTTCGCTGAAATGAAATAGATGTTGGATTTAGAGTGGTTGTTCCTGGTGAACCCCTTGGCTGGGCATTCAAGGGCACCTCCCATCTTGTCCTGATTTGTCTTTACATTTTTCATCTCTTCTCACCTGGCAAATCTTCTCCCATAAGTCCCTGGTGTTCAAAATGGGCTCTGGCTCTGGCCCCCCATAGCTCCTCCTTTTCCTGTTTTGAATGAAGGTATCCTAGCAAGAACTCATTTGGGAAGAGACTTTGTCTAAAACCGCTTTGGAAACCACTGCTAGGCATGGTCCCCCATACTCCCTGAGCTCGTCTTTGCTCCACCATCATCCCTTACCACCGACGGTCTCTTCTTTCCTCTCCCGCTATCTAGATCTACATGTCCTTCAAGGTACACCATGATGACTTCAAGCTTCAGAGATCTCTCCCGCCCCCCTTCCTGCATCCGTCAGGACTAAATTACATGTGTCAGAAACCCAGCTTAAACTGGCTTCAGAAATAATCCCAGAGTGTGGGTGTTGCCCAGGATTTACTGGCTCAGGAAACTGAACAGACAAGGAGTAGATAGAGCTACAGGCAAAGCTGGACCTAAGGGTCAGACTGTGTCATCAGGATTCCACTGATACTGGCCTCATTCTCAGGCAGGCTCCTCCCAAACGATGATGAGATGGCCCCCTGGCATCTCCATGTTGCATCCTAACAGCCTAGCAACCTCAAAGAAAGAGAGCTTATCTTTCTCAGGGGTCAGAGCAGAAGTCCCAGGGCTGATTCTTACTGGCTGTGATTGGCCCGGCGTGGGGTCATGTGCTCACTCCTCAACCAATCACTGTGGACAGTGGTACCCACCTTGGTGTCTAAGGGACTGTGTTGAGGTAGGGAAGGAGGCTCCCAGGAGGAAAGTCAAGGCACTCTGGTTGAAGGAAAGGTTAATCAGTACTGGGCAAAAAATAACAGACGTCCCCTGCGTACATGTTACTTATCTTCGCTTATGCACGTGCTGTCTCCGCAGCTTACCCTCCACTCACAGAGGCAGGGGCCCTGCCTGTGTACCCCCCTGGCCTCTTTAACAACACCTAGCCCCTCGTGTTTATACAGCATTTCTCTGTTTCCAGATAGCTTTCACATATGTATGTTTTAAGTGTCAAAATTACCCTGTAACCACAGATAATTTGTGCAAGCCAGGAATGGATGTGCTGATCCCTTCTCCCTTGAGTATCCAGGTGGTGTCCAGGGCCGCCAGAGCCCCCAGCCAGATGCTGTGACCTCCTGCTGCCACCGTGGTTTGCCCGAATTTGTCGTCAATGCATTATTTTCTGTGTGTGCTGTGACTTGTGACAGAGATTGAAAACATGGCCCTGTGGTTTATAAAGTGGCTGTCTCCATCCTCCGTCTTAATTGAGTCCTCACACTCTCCCGGGAGGCAGCGGAAACAGATGCTGTTAACCCAGTTTACAGATGGAGAAACTGTCATGCAGAGGGAAAAGATGAGTCAGCCCAGGCCCTAACTGGAGAAAATGGCTTGATGGCGTAGCTTATGAGAAATACAAGAGAGCTAAGAGCCGCAGGTTGCTGTGCCTTCTGACAAGTCCAAGTTTTAAGAATGATACTGACAAAGGAGCCAGCCCTGGGGCTCTCTGAATTGAGTGGGGAGTAAGAGATCGTGAGAGTAACAGCGTCTCCTGAGATGAGCAGGGTGCTTATGCTTTCCTATACCTGATTTCATGGAATCCTTTGCACAACTCCCAGAGATGGGGGTATTTAGACCTATTTTATTGAAGAGGAAGCTGGGGCTCAGAGAGAGCAAGTAACCCGTCCAAGTCATACCGCTGGTCAGGGGCAGAGCTGAGATTCAAACCCAGGTCTTTCTGACTCTGAACTGCTTTGGTCTTGAGTCCTGGAGATGGAAAGACGCCCTTGGTGTTCACGCCTGTCTCCATCCCTCTCTGCAGGTCTACATCATCCGTGTCACGTGGTCCAGCGGCTCCACGGAGGCCATTTACCGGCGCTACAGCAAATTCTTTGATCTCCAGGTAAGGATTTGGGGTCTCCGGTGAGCTGCAAGGTGGGGAAGAGTTTATTTGGACTTACTTTCCACTTTGACTTCACAGCCACAGTGTTCTTGTTTAAAATGATGTCTATGCACTCACCTCAGCAGCACATATACTAAAATTGGAATGATGTAGAGAAGATTAGCCTGGCCCCTGTGCAGGGGTGACACGCAAATTTGAGGAGCGTGTCTGGGGACACGCTGGGGACATAAGTAATGGGCTGTATTGCCTTATGCTTTGATATTCAGTATTTTCCAAATAAAGGCTCCTGTTGAGTGCTCCAGACGGAGGCTGACCTGGAGACCGTTTCTGTTGGCCTTGAAGTGCAGATCTTGAACTGGTGTAGTCATGTTGAGTGCGTTCAGACCTCGTGGACCTTTTCTGCTCTCAAGACGGACCCACGTCTGTTGCCTCACCTTGGCCTCCTCTCCCCATCAGCCTCCTTGCTCGGCTCCTAAAATGCCTGCCGTGCTCTCAGGGCACCGTGCTCGCCTTCTCCTCTCCTCCGAGGCCTTTGCATTAGCTCTTCCTCACCTGGAACACCTCCTGCCCCCTCCAGCCCCCTCGTTGTCTCATCCTCTGGGAAACCTGGTCTGACTTCATTCCCTGGCCAGCAAAGGCCACCTCCTCTGCACCCCACAGTTCTGCATCCCTCTCTCCTGACTCTATTGAAGTTGTCTGCCCGTCCCCCTCTAAACTAGGACTCTCATGGGCAGGAACCACATCTTCATTATCCTCTCTTTCCTTCATGTTTTATTCAAGGACACTGTATGTATCCAGTGAATGTTTGGTGAATGAATGAATGAACAAACGAAGGAATGAACTATAACCCCCATGAGCGCCACCAGTCTCACAGGAAGCCTATGTGGACAGCTCTGTGTAAGCCCCTCCCCAGGAGGGTAGACGATCTCTAATCCATGGGTCAGCACCAAAGGCCAGCAACTCAAAGCAAGTGTGTCATGAAAAGTCACAGTGCCTGATATGATGGAACAAAGTTCTTTAGAAAACACAGACCTCAGGAGGAGATGGGAACTTGCCTGGCTTCCTGACTCCATGAGTGTTCCCTGCCACTTGGTGAGGGGCTCACATAGCTCACAGGCCAACGTAAGGCCTCATCGAGATGACTGTCTTCTTTCCCTCTGTGTACCAGTTAGGATCCTTTGGTTACAAGGGACAGAAACCCAACTCAAACTGGCCTAAGTAGATGGGGGGATTTAGGGGGCTGGTGTGACAGAATGTCCTGGGAGAAGGAAACTGGCAGGCTTCAGGTGAAGCTTGATACAGGGTTCTCCTCTGTGTCCTCTCACCCAGCTTCTTCCTCTTGTTCTGAATTCCCAGTTTCCTGATGTTGCTTTATCCTCAGATCCCACATGGTTGCACAATGCTCTGGGCTCACACTTAGCAGGAAAGAGTGAAAGGTCACTTTGCAGAAGTCCCAGCAAACACAGTGTTGTGTTTCATAGGCTCATCTCGAAGCCAGTCGGTATGGTTGAGGAATGTGATGGCCAGTGGGCTTATCCAGTCCCTGCTCTGCCTCTCAGTCAGGGAGGTGGGGACTGAGACCTGGAGAGAACAGCTGTGATCCGATGTAGAGAAGGCATTGTGGGGACGTCAGGAGACAGCCCGGGTCCTCCACACACCAGCCTGTCTTTCTGCCTTCCATGTTCTCTCTGGAGGTGATATTAACCACCGTCATCCGTGGTTGAACAGACCTAATCTGTTCCTAAAAATGTCAAAGAGAGAATTTTCAGAGCCTGTGCTCCAATATTTTAAAAGGGGGAGGGGAGATAATAATGTGCCCCTAACCTGTTTCCCCAGTATCACCAAACAATCTACGTTATAAATTGCCAAGAGTCATTGCATACTGGACAGAAGTTGACACCAGTTACCTAATTACTTAATATGTAATGAACTCATAAGTGATGTTTTGTGTTCACTATGCAACAAACCAAACAGTATCATATACAAATGATATTTTTCTTCTGGTCCGCAGCAAACATGTACCAAATGTCAGTACCCAAAGAGGCTCTATGTTAAAGACGTTAAGATACCATCTAAAAGGGACTTGGCAGGAGCAGACACGGGCATGGGCGGGGGAAGGGCTGACCCTGGAGGAAAGGCAGGAAAGACGATAGCAGTAATGCCCCACACCTCCGAAAGTGGTCCTGCGTGAGAAAGACAGATCCACACCCCCTTGCTCAGACGCAAGAGTGATTGATGTGATCCATTTCGGCAGGTCTTTAGAGTGTGGGTGTCGGGTAGATATTTTGCAAGTCGCTAGACTGATTTTTCATGCACCGAGGGTCCGTGTTACAGGGGCAGCAGTGCTACCTATATTTTTGCTTTCAGAGGCCTCTCGCCTGCCTGATGCTTCCAAGAAGGAACAGAGGGGGCAGAGATGAGTGACATGGGTGATTGCTAGCCTAGGGCTTATTGGCACCCACAGAGCAGACACCCACTCAGCTAGCTTAGGCAGAGAGAAGTGGGGGTGGACTGATGAGAGGAGGCCAGTGTGCCCCCACGGAAACCAGAGCCGGGAGTACAGCCGGCCTCACAGGGGCCCGGAACCAGCAACAGAATGACCCACTGGAAGCCTGGCAGCTCCCGGGCCGTGTGTCCCGTGGCCACAAGCTCTCCCATCGAACCTGCTCCCTTTCCCGCCAGCCCCTCTGGACCAGCTTCTTCCACCAAACAGCACCTTCAGTCCCCAAGTTGAAGTGCCCTTCCCTGAGTCAAGGCACTGGAGTTGGTGGGTTCGGCTCCAGTCTCTGGGAGAGAGCATCTGAGTGTCAGCCTCCTGGGTCAGAGTCCACCCCCACCCCCCACCCCCCGAGCCTGCTAGCTGTGGCCAGAGGGGTGGGGCGGGTGGGACAGCATCATCTAGAGGAGGAGATTCAATGAGAAGAGGGTGGGGAAGAGGCCCTGGTGGCGCGGACAGAAATGCTCACTGCTGCCCTTTGGCAGCCTATGGGCCAGGCAGTGTGTGGGGAACTTGACTGTGTTACCGAGTTCCCTATTCCAGCCTCGCCCAGGGCTTCAGACCTTGACTTCTGGGGTTAGGCAAACCTGGGTTCATTCACATCTCAGCTTTGCCTTTTCAGGTCTCAGCCCAGTGTCACCGCCGTATGTTTCTGAGCCTCAGTTTCCCCATCCACACACTGTATTAAGAATGAAAGCACTTTGCTCACATCTGCCGTGACAGTTCAGTCAGTTGTGCTTTGCTCGGTAAGCGTTATCTGTCATCTGCTGTCGCTCTGCTCACATGGGATTTGCCCAAGGTGACATTGTTTGGGAACGTTTTCGAGCCAGGGTTGGATCCCAAGGCAACCTGGTCTGAAGCCTGCATTCCCTCCACTCTCCTGTTCTAACTCAACTTTCTTATTTCTACCAGAACTTAAAAGTGAGGTTTCCTCCCCTCCAACCCCAGCATAATTAGTAAGAATTGGAGGTTTGCTGCAACATAAATAGCTGCCTTAGAGTCTCCTCCCGTAACAAAGTCTTCTAAAGACGGGGCTTAAGCCAGCTTTAAAGAGTCCCAGATGGGCAACTGGAGTGGGAGAGTCCTGGAATTCCAGAGGGTCCTGCTGTCCTGGAAATGGCCTGCCCTGCCCCCGAGCCCCGCACCTGAGAGAGGGAAGCTGGAAGAAGGGACTGATCCCAGGGACCAGGCAAGGAGGCCGGCCTGCATGGGGCTGCGACACCCTGAAGTTGGATGGTTTCATGATTCCTCCCTCCCTGTCTGGCGAGTAGCCTGGGCTTTTGCAGCAGTAACTTGGCTGAGAGCATGGGGAGGGTCAAGCTTTCGTGGAGGAGCAGCTCGGCCAGTGTGGCGTAATGGAAACAGCAGGCGACTCAGTCAGGAGACTTGGGGCCCAGCCACCTGTTCTGTGTGGCCACGGGCACACCCCTTAACCCCTCTGTGCCTGATGGTGATTTCTTCATCAGTAGCATGGGGCTGATGCTAGGGAAACAGCTGGCATTCCTGAGGTACTGCCTGCTCAGCATCAGGATGTAGTGACTCATTTAATCCTCATGTCAAGCCTATCAAATGATACAGATGAAGAAACCCAGGCTCAGAAAGGTTAAGTCATTTGCCCGAGGTCACACAGCCAATGAGCATTAGAACTCGGCTTTGAAGCTGGGCAGGCAATACCGGGGTCCACAGTCTTGGTCACTCTGCTCTTACCAGTGGCTACTTCACGAGGCTCCTTTGGAGTTAAAAGTGATGATGTGTGTCCGGAAGAGGCAAATCCATAGAGACAGAAAGCAGATTAGTGGTTGCCGGGAGCTGGGGGGAGGGAGAAAGGAGGAGAGACTGTTAATGGGAACTGGGTGTCTTTTTAGGGTGATGAAAATGTTCTGGAATTAGATAGTGGTCATGGTTGCACAACCTTGGGAATATTCTAAAACCCACTGCATTGAACACTTGAAAAGGGTGCATTTTATGGTATGTGAAGTATATCTCAATTTCTTTTTGTAAAAAAGTGATGATGTGTGTGAGAGCAGTTTCTGGGCTGTCGAGCCCTGAGCTAGTGTCAGCTGTTGGGATTATTGATAGGCGTGGGTTGCTGCTAGGAATTGGCATGAAGATTAGAGTAGGCGGTGATGCCAGTTTAATAGAGTGGTTAAGACCCTGGGCTTTTATCCAAATGCTGCCACTTCCTGGCCATGAGACCTTGTTTTAGTCAGAAGTGTTTTAGTTGCAGATGACAGAAACCCAGTCCATATGGATTATTCAAAAATTACATTGATTAGCTAAATGGAACTGAGAAGACTAAGGGTACTTGGCTTCAGGTATGGCTGGATCTAGGTGCCACAGGGTGAACCAGGACCTGCCTTTCTCCACTTCTTGGTCTCCTCTGTGTCCAGGCAGGGTGTTGTCTGGTATGGTGGCAGCCACAGCTCCCAGCTGTATCCAGCGGTCAGCTCAGTGACTTCAGGGAAAAAGAGAACACCCCAACGGTTTCAGCACAAGTCTCATT